CGCCCGCTTTCAAGCGGTGAAACCGCAAAGTACAACTCCTCCATGTAAACAACTATGTAAACACCAACTCTGATAAAAAAGAATCTTTTCTAGTAGAGTGAAATATGTACATACTGACTGCGAAGTGATGCAAAAAATACCTATATTTTCCGGAGGGAGTAATATTTCCTATCAAGAGTCGGTCAGTTAGCAGCACCAGCATTGCCCTATGAATATCCTCTTTCGTTTCAGGATCCAGCAGCATCATCTCGCCATATAGTAACACTTTGTCTGTGCTACGCATATTGTTCAGAATACTCTAAAAGAGACATTTGACTTCCGCTCATTGACAAGTCAACTTAGTCATATACAAGTCAATCTGCAAGTCAATAATCTTCAACGCGGTGAAAGTTAGCACGTATTTCAATCAGTTCAGATTCAATTTCGACTTCCAAAATAAGAAAGAGAACGAAAGACATAAACCGACCGCGATTCCATCCATCTTTTGCATGAGAACTTGTATAGGAGTGACAGAATTAATAGATGCGGTGTGACTAGAGGCTGTTTGTATCGATGTCTTGTCATCTCCTTAAAAAAGATTCTCATTAAAATTATACCACTACAGGAGAGAATTTACACCTGCCTGTCATCTGCATGAGATTTTCAATTAGCAGTTTCTGATCAAGTAGGAGCGACGAGAGCTGATAGATTTCCTGCTCAAGATCTAAATTGAACGGTTCTTACTACGGCTGGTGTCAGAGTCCGCGATCCGTCGTGCGACGAAATTCTGCTTTTTGAAATTGAGGTGCTCTCCGAGCCCGATGCTACTTCTGCTTGATAGTGATGATTGAATTACGACTGTTCATGACCCTACTTGTTACATATTCAGTGTTTCAAATTTTAAATGGAGCACTTGCAATTTTTGCGAATCGCGCGACGGATCCAGGACTCGGACACCAGGGCTAGAGGCTGTTTGTGTCGATGCCTTTCATCTCGGATACCCAGCCTAACGCATTGGGCTATTGAGAACTCAGAAGCCAGTGCACACACTGGCATCTAGATTGCACGGCAAAAACCTATGATAATGTAGTTCAAGGAGGTGGATGAGAACAGTCACCTATGTAATGTGATTTGGTCTGTATTCAAAAAAAAACATGACGTTCGACTCACGTGAAATTTCTTTGGAAGCATCGATGAACTGCTTCTTTAAGCATCTCCCTATGATGCACTGTATCATGGCATTCACATCGGCGAGTCGTGCAGAGGCTCGCAGCTGCGTGTGTTCATCTCCACAGTACGAGACCAATTCAATTCGTTCGCGTATACTGATAGAAAAAGATACAATCTACATAACAAAATACGCAGTCACATCACGATCACAACCCGTAAGCACATACGATTCACACCCGTATCTCATGTATTTGCTGGATTTACTACTTCAGGAGGGCGAAGTGGTGTAGTGGCAAGTGCCGCAGGGGACTGCGCTCCGTCCGGGATCAAAGCCTTGGTCGCGAGTCGTCTGGGCCAACCAAGCCTTCGGGGTGTGGGTCACTAGGACATAAAGCGACTTTTTCGCGGTTTTGCACTGTGAAACGCGGAAAAGTCGCTTTCTGCCCTAGTGAACCACACCCCAAACCTTCCACCCCACCCCGCGGTCGGTTAATTGGTCCAGACTTGTCTAGGAGGAAAACACTGACTTGTCGGCTGTCCCCCCCCCCAGTCTTTACACGGGCCAAATCACACTCAAATTGCCAACGCGATTCTAAATGGAAGTAGAATGTGTAGCGCATCTCAAAACGCAGTCGACAGCGGGTGCTTTGCCCTTCTAATCCCTATCATCACTTCGAGAAGGTTCCTCAGACACTTGGAAACCAATTCGTACCTAAGAGGACCATTACCACATCTCTGAATCCCGACCAATTCCGATGTCAGACTGCGAATCCAGCAATTCGCTAGTTAATCGCTAGATTCGCAAAGTCTGACATCAGCCTAACGTACATACTACCTGAGCGAGTTGTACCATCAATATGCAACGTTTACTTCGATGGTTATACTTTGCAACTGCAAGCTCCATGAGACCCATTTCTTTGCTAAGTCCTGCACAACCCTCACCGCGAAACTTTTTTGTTCCGAACTTTCTAGTTTACATGCAGCTAGCCCGTTACATACTTTTTTGAATCAAGGAACTGAAATCGAACTCACACTCTGACGGTGAAAAATTATCAGACTGGAGTGCTCCATCACCAGGATTCTCGAGTTCGTCTCGAGATTCCATGGTAGCGAGGGAACCTACTCTATCTTCCTGACACTCCTTTCCTACTTTGCCCTGAATGTAACAGAACTCAACAGTGAATTCATTATGCGACAAATTTTAGCTGCAATAGAGCTAAACAAGCAAACCAATAAAACACGGGACCGACTACGAACACAAATGTTATGCAGCCGATTTTCCCCTAGCGTCAGTGCAAACAACAATGTCCACAACCTAGTTTTTCAGCGTGGCAGCCCGCGCCGCAGAACTGGCAGACTTCCAACCAATTTGCTTTTGAATATCGATTGGTCTACGCTAAACGCTGTACACTCGCAGTGTTCTGCTATTTCACATTCATTATACAGTTTATTGGAATCCAATCATGGATATCCAGTCTTCAAGTGCGTCAGCGTTACCTAATCCTGGCGATCTCGTCTGGGCGAAAATGAAAGGCTTTCCACCATGGCCTGCGAAGGTAAGCTTTCTGTAACTTTTCTTCGTCAAAAGAATGTTGTTAAGTTGTTTTTGTTTGACTTTTGAGCCGTTTTGATTAATCGTTTTGATTAAGTGTACCAATGTAGAGTTCTACTGTGTCTTTCTGTTCTAAACGTGAGCTGCTTCTACAGGTCCTGGAAAAGGATAAGGACACTCCTCTGTCGCGCATTCCCGTCTTATTCTTTGGGACTGGAGAAAAAGCTTTCATGAAAGCATCCGACGTTTGTGATTATTACGAAAACAAGGCACAGTATGAAGTACCAAGAAAGCACAAGGTACTTGTTTGTTTAATCGTGAAGATCAATCATCGAGCATTGTTCATTATCTTCCACCCGTAATCTATGCAACTTACTCAAACTTGATTCGATCCTTATTCGTTTTCTTGTTTCTAGTTTATGTGCTGTTGAGAGTTACTGTAAAAACTGGTGAGAGAAAAGAACGAATTATTGGCAAAAAAAGTGTCATCGGAGGGCTGAAAATATGAAAATAGCTCGAGAGACATCTCAAGGCTGTGACTGGTTTGTAAGAACATCCTTGAAGGAGGGTTACACTCTTTCCAAGCAGGCTGGTTAAAAGTATTGCTATCAGTCAAAGAGGACGAAATAGAAGGTTTTTTGGATTTCTGCGGCGAACGTTGGCTCCCACATTTTCTTCACGCCTTGGGGCGCGGCCGAGTTCATAGTGCCCGCGAACTGTGCGGGTAAATTTGAAAACGCTCCACCACCACAGTTCGCGGGCACTGTGGACTCGTCCGCGCTCGCTGCGACCGCACGCCAAAATGGAAGAAAGTGGGGGAGCCGCGAACGTTTCCCAATATTCTGTACAGTAGCTTCTCAGAAGATTTTCCATCAGGTGCTGGGATTTGTGGAGGTTCTTAGCTCGGAACAATTCTGTTCTTAATCCTAGTTTACAACTGTGTTTCTATTATGGAACGTCTTCAACTATAATTAGTGACTTTAGTGTGCGCGTTTCGTCTCTAAGCCATGTAACCAGTCTCAGAATGTTGAATTCAGGCGTTCAGTTAGTCCCTGAACTACCGGGCATTCTTCATCATCGTTACCAAAAGTTAACGATAAAGATATGACTGATAACCAGCTTTTACAATATTATCACACAAACATTGAGCTACGTTGTAGAACCGACTCAGAATGTGTTTAAACTTACTGTGAATTTGAGAAAAATCCACTCACATATCTCTCATCCCACGAGTTTAGTTCGGGTTCGTCACTATATCGAAATAAGGGATCTTACCTCGCACTTTTCTTTCCATTTCTAATTTAATTTCAGGGCTTCAATGAGGGCATTCATGAGATTCGTGTTGCTGCTGGCTTCGAAACGGCATTTGACTTGGATCCGCTCTTTGGCGCCAGCTCATCGAATAAATGCCCGTCTCCTATGCTTTCGGGAACAATTCAGGACAAAACGCGATCGGGCACTGGAAAAATGTTGGCAGACGCTTTTCTTTCTGGATTTGAACGGCGGAGAGCAAACTCTGGTTCGACGAGGTGCTTCCGGGTTTTCTCTTCGTAATTCTGCAAATTCAATCTCAGTTAATTTTCCAGATCTCGGTCCAGAGCTAGCAGCTCTGCTTCTGCGTTGAAGAAATTGCGCAAAGCTATGCACCGACGAAGGTTAGACAGTGGAAGTTCGGCTGGATCGCGGCGGCTTAAGGGCATGGCTGGATTCAATGATCGCGGTGGCTTCGATCTCTTCGACAGTTTTCAGGTAAAGCAATGTCTCTTCGAAACCGCTGTCCCTGAAGGCGAACGCGGTAGGCTTAATATGTACTTTTGCTTAATAAGGTGTGGCTGGGCGGATGATCCAGGGACTGTGGCGCCGTGCACCTTGCGCTCGGTTTTCATGGGATGGTGTAGAGATTGAATCCCGCCCAGGCCAGCGAAGCCTTCTATTCTTCTGTAGGGGAATCACTCTATCGTGCGATCTACTGTATAGGCCCAATTACACTCATAGGCCATAGGGGGAGGGGGAGGAGGGGGGGGAGGGTAGGATAATCGATGTTTTATCATTTATTCTTTGGGAGACTTTCTGATAACTACACTACGTTTCCTTCGATTACATCATCTATTTTCGGAAAAGCTCTTTCCTTTCAACGCATGCTTCAACAATTGTAACCATGATTTCTCTCGCTTGAAAAAGTTTACTATTTTGGCATTGAACAATTGACTACCTCCTCAAAAAAAGGGTGGTGTAGGGGAAACAATCCAGCGACGGCGTGCATCATTTTTTTTTCATAATGACTTGATGGAATAGAAAATCTGTTGTGGTTCAGAAAATGGGAAACGCCCGTAGCGACCAGCTGATGAAGAAGTGAGCCTTCATTCTCTAAAATGCACAGTCCTGCAAACTAATGTTTTTGGATATCTTCGTCGATTCTCTGACTTGACGCAAAGTCTGAACGCATTGGGAGCATGCATAGTGGTCGTCCGATCGTAGCGGTCGCACAGCATTGGATGCGTATCGATCGTCAGACTTGCCTGAGTATCGACGATCGATACGTATCTAACGCTGTGCGGTCGTTACGATCGGACGGCCGACCATGCACGTGCCACTGTATCGATCGGCCCGCGACAACCACAATGATAATTTGAATGGCGCGCGAAAATAGGATTATTCGCATTTTCATCATCTTTTGATCTGTATGGAAGTTACAGCCAGGATCTATCGTCCGTCGTACAAAGTTCAAAATTTTTTACGGCCTCCTTTTTTTAGGAGGTTTCAAGACGGCCACACCATCACCATTTAGTTTATGGGGATCTCCCTTATTACCATCTAACCACCTTGCCCTAAGCTCATTCTTTCACTGCACTTCTATTGCTGTAGTACTCGATTCTGAGGCACGAACCCTCTCACTTCTCGCTCAAGAACAGCCGTCGAAAATGTCTGAAAAGCAGGAAATGCTTCAATTTTCTGTTTTCCTCATATCACGTTTCTTTCCTGAAATCTCATTGAGAGCACGTCAGGAACGACCCGTCCTTCCTCATTGTTGCACGAACCTGGCTGTCGAAGGATCTTAAACTCAACTCCGCCTATTCGTTGATGCAACGGACGGGTTGACCCTGGGCGTAGCGCTATTGAGCTCCTACCACTAAAAATTCTCAAATCTTCGATCTAGGTTCGCCAATAGGGGTGTTGCGATGCAGTGATAACGAATGCGACATTCTTTGGTCCCAGCGGATTTGGTGCACCTATTGTGTTCGCGAAATTCGCTAATTAAATAAATTAGTCTAAATTAGTGAATTTGGGCATAGTGTTTATTCATTGCCTTGAGCACGGATATTTCATTTCTGGTGCGGTCGCGTTTGACGCAGCTGGGTACAATATTGGTGTGTATATGGTAAGAGATTTTGATCTTTTTGGTTTTCACTGGTGCAGACACATGGGCTTTTAAAACTTTTGCGTTTTGCTGAACAGATCATCTTCTGTAAATTTCATCTCTTTTGCAAAGAGCTCTCCATGGACTGTGCTACCTCAAGTTATTGTGTACTAACCATATAACCTTTTGCCTGTAGGGACTGGATGGTAACGAATTCAATATGTTGGATGATGGTCTCAATCTGCTTGCGAATGATGATGCTAGATCTACCCGGTCGAAGCGGTCACGTGCCTCTTCAAAGCTTTACGATGATTTCTTGCTCAATGGCTTTGGTACAAGAACTCGGCATCGTTCAGGAAGCGCGAGCGAGGCTGGAAGGAGAAGCAGGTTGTTCTAGATGGCTTGTTGAGTCAATGTATCAAATAGCTGGATGTAAGGCTGATAATGAATCGGCTACTAGTACTAGGTTGTGATTGCGAATTATGAAATGTTATTGTACAGGTTAATCTCTGGAGTGTCGGATGTGTTTGACGAGCTACTTTTTAATGGTGAATTAAATTTACAACAAGCAGCGGAGCAGCTTCTACATACCTTGGACGAGCTTCCTTCAGAGAGTAGCGAGGTGATTTAACCATTCATTTACTGCTATTTTTAGGTATCAGTTTGGTTTTTCTGCTGTAATATTTGAAAATCATCTCCAATTATACCAATATAGGGTGATCTGGCAGCAATTTTTTTTCTGCACACTTTCCATTTTTCTAAAAAAATCTTTTAGGGACGACCTGGAACACCAGAGGCACCAGCACCTCTCCCTGGTCCCGCTCTCTTTTGCACAGCTTGTGGTTGTGAATGTAAGCTCAACGAAGGAAAATGGAGGTATCTTCTTCCCAAAGTCATTGATCGTCTCAACGGAACGCTCTTATTACAGGTGTACTTCGAAGTTTTGCCGGAAGATCAATGAACCTGATGGCTACTCTGAGCAAAAACCAAAATACTCTTTATCCACTGGTGCACCAAGTGCGACTTCTTCAACAACAGAAGTCAAGAAAGAAAAGAAACCTTCAGCAGCGGATGTTAGGAACGAGCAGAAACTCGGAAACCATGAAATTGCGGAGACTGAAAGAGAACACTCGACTGCTCGTCAAGTTGGTTCACTATTGTAATAATTGGTGTAATGGTTTATTTGCCAATCCTATTGGAGGCTTACTCGAATATTTATTATAAAGAGCAAGATGAAAACGCGAACCGATGAAGTGGTGAAAGACGAAGATGAGGGAGAGCATATGCGCCCATCGTCGTCAAATTCAAAATCGACATTAAACCACAGAGGACGACAGACGACTCCTCCACAGAGAAAGAGATTCAGAAAAGAGGTGCGCCATTTGTTACTTACCGCTTTTCTTGTTCATTCCTCGAGTTCTGCAGTGTTTCCTAAGAAACTCACGTAGGAGGGCAGTTTTTCATAAATGCTGATTATTTATGGTTTTCCTCCTGTCTTGCAAAGGGAGATGAAAATAGGAAAGAGCTACCTTTTTTCAAATTTTTATCTATCTCGGGAATTGTCGGGGAACACGTTTAGTGTGCTTTTCCATTTTCAGTAATTTTGTTTGTTTTCAGGAGCCTGCGGAAATCAGCTGTTCTGCGTCATCAAAGGAACCTAGGAACAAGGTTGGAGTTGTAGTACATCGTCGAGAAGAGTGCGAAAGGTACAAAAAGCGTGTACAATTTCAGACGAGAGCGCTAACTCCTCCTCGCGAAATGTCTTTGTTTTCACCGTCTTCTCCACAAAAAACTAGCAGTACTAATACTGCGCAAAATAATGCCGATCAAAAGCGGCACATCCGCGGTACTGGACGTCCAAGGCAGTAGTGAGTCACTTTACAAATGCCGTTTTTTTATCCCGTTGTTGTTACTGCCTGTGAACGTAACGTTTTAGTAAAGTTGAAAAGACACCAGTTATGGGACCGAACGGTCAGCGACAGTGTACTTTTTGCAGTGGACAAGTCAGGCCCCAAATGTGCGGTAGTAATAAGCACAGGTAAATCATTATTGATGTATGGCAAAAATTTCGAAATTTCGAAGGAAGGGTCACTGTCGGCTCGTTCTTATGAGCTGTAGATATTCAAGCAAAGGTTAGGACTTCGTAGATACTTCAATGGACTGGCTTTTCTCTCAGTGAGGTGCTTATATGCTCGAACTTTTCGCAGACGGCTTGTTTTATATTTGCACCGTACATGTTTTGCGCGAATGCTATGGTCAATTTGTTGCTTTCCCTAAGAGGCAACAACTATCGAGCCCAGTAGGATTCCCGTCTCTCTGTTCTAGCCCTTGTTGTATGCGATCCACGGGCCCCGCGAATGGTAGCGGCGCTACCCGTTATTGCTGCCACGTTGTACCTAAAGAATTTATTGTGGGTGGCGAAGTTTATTCGAAACTGTCTCTCTCTTAAGATTATGGGTTTATTTTGCGTGGTTTTTGTTGCTATCTGAGAATTTGAAAAAATTGAGAAATTATCAATTTGGCAGGTGGCGTTGTGTAGACAAGAAATGTCGAAAATGGTATGGCTGGGTCAAGAGTCATGAAGAAATACCAAGGGATTTGGGCAAAAAAGGCAGATGGAATCTTGCTGCTCGCACGAAGAAGCCTATATCCTCTTCATCCCGGAAGAATAAAGAAGAGGAAGATACAGGTAATTTTTATCTACCGAGTACCGGTCACAAAGTTTGAATGAAGGGTGATAATTACCTATTAAATTTACTATTACTTTATTAGGGCCTGCATCGATGTCTTCACAGGCTGAAGCAGCGTTAGCCGCTGCAGAGATTCAGTCGATGCGAAGTGATGCTACTAATGATCCCCTGACAGTCGTAGTGGAGCAGAACATACAGGTATGAATAGGGTGGTTGGATGTTTCCGCTCAGATTTATTATTAGTTTAATCATAAGGAAGTCAAGAAAAAGCTTGGACGTCCTCCAAAAGAACACGGTCTGAAGATTCGGTTGAAAGGAGTGAAAGAGAAGAAAGAGGTCAGCTGCTTACTTTATGTTGTTTCTGCACTTGTTGTCTGGCTCACGGCAAAGTTCCTGTTCTTGATTGTTCCCAGTTGCAGGATACCCGTCAAAAACGGAAATACGTTCGACGGCGGGATAAAATTGCCGGTGCAGTGAACAGTGTTTTGCAAGGCCGTTCTCTTGAACCGGAAGAGCCAAAACCTGGTGAAGATTATTTAGCTTGCCTCATATTTTTCGATATTCCCATGCTTCTTCAATCAATCCCTCGACTTTCAACGGATTTCCAATCGATCTGTCTGAAAATTTATACATTCATTTCAGTTCCTATGCCTCTTACTGAGGCTGAAAAAAGCTTTGAACCCTGCGCTATTGAGAAACGAGTTCGTTGGTGGTTGAGCGAGAAAAGGCGCGTAGATGCAAGCCCTGAAAGGTGCGTTCCTCATAATGGAATTTTGTGTAGAATTTAATTGTTTTGGAGTTTTTTCTCGATTTCATGATACGGAGTTGCGTACAATCAAAGTTTCTTATACTGTTGTATGTACAAATGCTTTTGTAAATATTAGTCATTCGCACTATTGGTCAACGAGCGATTGTACCCACTTTGGAGCCTTACATTTTCCTTATGTCCCACCAGTCATTTTCTGTATTGAATTTATGCCCTCTGGCGGAAGTATTCTTAGTCGCTTCTAAACTCAACGCCAATCACATTTCTTAATCAGCAGATTTAATGAAGTTTTTTGAAGGCTAGTTACTAGTTTTCAAGAAATGGAAAATGACAATGTTCATTTTTGTTGATGTGTAGAGGTTGCGTTGAATTGGCAAGTGGTAGAGGTGAAGACTAGTTGGATTAGCACATTGGTAACGTCAACTTCTCCTTCTTCTTCGCTCACATTTTTATGGGTCTGATCTGGTCGTCAAAGGAGATATCAGTTTGAAATTGACCATTACCGCTCTTGTATCTGTGTGGATGCTCGTCACGAATCCACCTGTAATCAGGCAGAGTTTGGTTCTTTAGTCAGTAAGTGGCTCACTAGCTTTGTTTCGGAGCCCAATGCAGATGCTCGTTTTGCGCAACCAAACTAAATGAAATCGTGAAAGCGATTGTGTGACTGTTGTAGCTTTTTGAAGGCTGCTTTGTGTCTCGGCTCACTTTCTCTAACTTTTTCACTGATGAAAGAGAAGATGTTTGTTTAGAAAGTTTGAAACAAAGGCAATCGACTCCTGCGCCGCTTTTCGAATGCTCTCACATGCGTTCAGAGCCACAGCTGTCACGCGGTTAGTTTCTTTCGAAGTGGTTTAAACTGTTCTTAATTTTGCCACTGTAGCAGCTTTCGATTCCGTTATTAGTCGCTGTTCTTGTTCTTTTTCTTTAATGGCAATATTTCCAAAAAAATTAGGACCTAAATGAATCATGTCATTTTCTTTCTGAGCTCTGCAGCGCTCTTACTTGTTAGTGTCGAATAAGCCTCAGGTTTTAATGTATTCGCTTTTCTGTGGCTTCAAAGCGCCTTTGAGTGATGTCCATGTTGTTTACGTATTTCTTGGTTGTCAGGTATCTTAGAAAGTTTCTTCAATTTAATGGTTCTTTAAACGCGTATGGCGCGTATGCTCTGTTTTGTTCCACATTCTACTGTTGATGACAAATGTTTTCAGAGCTGATGAAGCCCAGTCAGTAAATGGGTCTCTCGACATTCTCATGGACTCCCTCATGGGTTCTCTAGGACCTCTCTTAACCGTCGCTTCCGCCGCCTTCGAAAATTTGGTAGGTGCACATGTAACTGCGTTTGAATTGTAATTCAACAAGCTTCTCAGTGCCTAACGTAAGGGGCGCTTTCTGGCGGTTTGCAGGTGGAGTTGACAACGTTGGGTTAAAGTGTGTTGAAAGGTAATTGACGAAAATATTAATGAGAACACAAAAATGGAGTAGAATCGTACGCGATGCCGATTCCCTATTTCGTTTTTGAGTTCCTTGGCATCTAGGAAAGAATTAGTGTAGTGCAGTGCACCACTTGGGGAGAAACAAACTTTTTTCTTCTCTATTTTCTTGAATCCTATTTTGTGTACAACTCATTTCGGCCGATGTGATGTGTTGCGGGGTATTTTTACTATCTCATATGAAATAAATACATTATTGATCTGATCTAGAAGTAGAAGAGATGTTCGAGCTGTGGTGAGGTCTTTCATACGCGAAGAACACGTTAGTATTCTACCTCGCTTACAAAGATCGGAGCTCGCGTTTTATAATTTCTTCCTGTTATTTGTTTAATTTTAAGATTCCCGATGAACTTGCTCAAAAGCTGTGGAACTCTTCGGCTGTACACCTTCCAACTTTTCAGTAGCCGGTGCTATATGTTTACACTCGCAAGCGCTTTTTCGCTAGAGTTTATATTACTTGCAGAATTCGAATGTGATTAGATTTTCAATTAGAATGCATAGCGAATCAGTTTGCTCTTGTTAGATACTGATAACAGATTACCTACAGTGAGTCAGGTCTCCACAGTGGACTTGTTTTTGTTCATTTTTGCACCAATATTATACAAATTTTTCTTCACTACCTCTTTGCTACTCACGATCTCACTTTTTTGTTTTCTTGTTTTCGTTGTTGTTAATTTCTTTGGAATTATTGTTCATACTCTTCATGAATTCACTCTAACCCTGTATAAAGTTGACGTTGAAAGTTTAGTGATCTAGTCAAGCCCATTTGCTAATGAAAATTTGTAAGGCTCTTCTGGATATAAGTTTGTTGTACTCTGTTGCTTCACATATAGTAGCTGCTTACTGTGCTGCATGTAACTCAAGAAGAAATGAAGTGCTCAGCGTTAAGCATGGATGCGCCACGCATTAAACACCTACTTGGATTTGTAGTATCATTTGATTACTTACCTCACACCTACAATGACACAAGGGCGCTCTGCCAGTAGTTCTAGGGGGCATTTGACTTAATGTGTGCCTTCTGGAGTGATCCCATTTTTGTGGGGGAGGGGGAAGGAGTGCGTGTGAAGGTAAAAACTGTGCTTCACACATCACGGAGCTTCCTTCGTCTGCGGAAATTGGATTAATTTTAGCGGAACCAACTGTTGAAACGCAACGCCCCTCTCTCCCCCCCCCCCATCTCCCACTGGTCCACACAAGCAGTCAACTTGTGTCAAGATAATGTCAGCAAGGAGCAAAACGAGCCATTTCAATTATTACGTATAAAATGGTTTTTTCTTTCTTAATTGTCGTACGAGCAACAGATCTTCAGAGAAGGCAGAGATACTTGTTTGTGCTAGGCAAGAATCGATCGAGTGACCTCGTGGGCATGAGGCATCGCCTCTAGGCATAGCGCAGATCTCACTGTCGAAATTAAGGTGACGTGTCAGTTTGTGAAGAGCTGCCTTTATTGCATCATCATTGGTGACAATTTTCTTCATAATTAGGGAATAGGAAGCGTGTAAATTGGTTTGAATAGAAGCAGAAAATTTGATCTGGTGGATCTCCACCTTGGTGACGTCTTCGGAATTTCATCTACATCACTTATAAGTTTGTTTCTGTTGATTTGCCCAGGATATCCTCAATGTGTGTTGGGATCGAGCCAACCCTGAAAGCACACGGTTAGAAGAAATATGCTGCAGATCAACGAATGCTTGAAGCAGCGTAACTGTACCACCTGAACTTTTTCGTGGCATCTGCTAGGGTGAAAGTGACATCGACTGGTCTGCGTTTTATATTGAAAACATCTATCGAGAAGTATACAATCGATGTTTGATCTTCCATGCAGATTGTGACCAAGTACTGTAAAGTTAGAGGATTGTAAACGAGATTGTTGACCGAGTCGTGACCATAGAACGTAACGGTTATGTGCAGGTTCGCGGAACGGTATGGTAGACGATGAGCTGCGGACATAAATGAAGGAGGTTCCACGATAAGGTCGAGGAAGGAAAAATCTACTCACGGGTAGTGGAAGGAGGGGCGGACCACCTAAGGGTGTAGACCGAGACGCAATTCGCAGCGAAGGACATGTCCCCGACGATCAAGCATGGCCACCTATGGCCCCATCGACGCGGCACGCCCGACTTACTAACCACTCGTCGCAGGTTGTCGTTTACGAGAGAACGCTAGCGTTGAAGAGGGCAGCACCGATGAGGAATGTGGAAATCAAAGGGCAAGGACGTTTTTCATGTTTTTTTTTCAAATTCCAGCGCCACTGACCGCCTCCACCTAATTCTAATGGGCTGCCTTCTCAAAGTAAATTCCGCTTTTGAAACGCGCTTCTATTAGGTTGTCCAATGAATAGAGTCGTTTTCAAATAGTTTTCATATCCCAAGTCTTCACATGATGTTATATGCCATTCGAAAGGGAGTCGTCCACCCTACAAAACACTTCGTACCTGTTCAATAAATTTTGTGAACTCAGTGAATAACAAGCTTAAAAATTGAGAGCTCAAGTAGACGAAAAGCTGTCAAACCGGCATTTGACTGAAACTCCATATTCTTGAGATAAATAAATAATAGTAATAGATAAATAAATATTTAACCCTGATCATTTTTCTAATGAAGTTGCTTTCACTCAATCAATACGGATGTGAAGATGGCATCACGACCTCTAAATTATCCCACTCAATTAGGGCTGCTTCGCACCTCGGAGCGAGGCATCCCTTAATTTAGGTGCGAAGAAACAGGAATCGTACCACTTTTAACTGCCCAAGCCGTTTTTGCGCTGGCGAGCACGCATGGCCGCCGTGCAATGCGCATCGTGCGCCACATGGTGGCGCATGCGGCCACACGGGTCAGACATTTTTTCAAAATTCTTTTCAAAAGGTGCTTTTCACTTTATGTTTTTATTGTCATGTTAAGTCACAAATTTATGGGTCTGTGTCATATTTTTTGCCTATTTGGCTTATCATGAACATTCCAAATAGTTAACGAATGATTACACAACAGCGATAGAGAAGGATCCGAAAATCTACTTTGACCAACTTCTGGTGATAGATAGCGATGGCAAACAATTTAGTCCCATTACCCCACAGTCTGCTTAAGCCTGTTAATTGAAGAGCAGTGGCGATTATACAGATTACAGAATATTTAAAGACGCATTTCACCCTTAACCGGTCTTTTCAGGGAAGTGAGTATATTACACCCATAGTTTGCCATACATTCATCACCGATTTTGATACCACGGTAAGGCAAACATGAGTAGAATTTCAAATAAAGGTTATTTCAATAACGTTTATCAAATGACTGCGAAAACTAACCGCCGAAAGACGCACAAGCTGGAAAAAGCGCTCCAAAACCTTCACGATAATGTTTTACTGCAAATCATCTCATTCACTTGAAGGCTGCGCTTGGAAAACATTATTGCGATTCAGTTGTATTTCATCTAGATTGCGGTAATTGCTGAACTTGCTGAAAAGGATGTGTCTTAGTCAAGTTAGATCAGCTATCTCGGCTCTCATTAGAATACAATGTAC